CCTGAAAGCGTAAACAGACCATAGATGATTATGGTATGTATATTTAATGGGAGACATTGGCTTCGAAAGCTACAAACTAAGATACCACGAGACTACAAATTGTAGAACGACCACCCGGCGCTGCGAAGACTCAATGTTCGAGCTTCATCGAATAATGAACTTTATCTTTTGCATTCGAGTTAGGTAAAAATCGAATCAAATCGGATCAAATCGAGCGTCCAAATGTTTACAAAATCTTACCAACTCATGGAGGTTCAATAAGAATTACATTAAAATTTACCTTGCATAAGTGGCTTTGAAATAACTAAGAACGTATAATGAGAAGCATGAAGATGAAAGTTTTTTTAATAGAGCAGAAATACTCGACAGATTACGATCTTCTGATGAATCAATACAACAGCTTCATCAACAGCCTGACTGGGATCAAAAGGTAATAAATCAATTGGGCTTATATTGAAGGAAAAACGAACACATTGACATAAGTATACATAGAGATACAAGAACATGTTACAAGGGATCGTGCTTCCAGAAATTGCATTACAGAACCCAGGATTAGAGAACAAGGCAGACCAACGCTTTCTAAATATGAAATCTATAAGAATCATCAAAATGACTTCATTTGAATGAAGTCTGAAGGGCCTGGGGGCTTTTCGGGCTCAACAAAGACCACACATTGCTCATTTCAGGAAAAATGCCGAGTAGGTTGCCTGCGAAAAATGTGAATCCAGACAAACAGCACATCAATAGAAAGGCTTGAAAACTTCTAGTAACATGTCCCATCAAGTGGTCTATTTGGCCCATATGTGTACGAGTTTGACAATTAGAAAAGTAAGCAATGTTCGAAGAAACATTAGCAAAACTCGAGTGCAATGAAACATGGTCAAAGTGAGACATGGAGATGATGAGGTTTTCACTAGAAAATGGGATGTGATCGTAAGTTCCAAATCGTATAAACAAGCTCACTGTGCTTTCCCAGTGAAGTTCTCCCGAAGAGGCACTCCTGAGGTACTCTCGAGATGTCTGTTGAATGCTTGAAATTCAAATGGGCAGGCATTTGATCTGCAATTGATTACCTAATCCGAGCCGAGATTCTCCCAATCTAGCCTACGATAACCAAAGCTCCAGAGCTTCATGCCACATTGGAGGTCCATACCCCATTCGACATCATTCATTATGCGACTCCCTCTAAATTTGATATGTCTGACTCTGTCAATACTTCCTAGAACTTTCGCAGTCTTCGCAGACGAAGCTTACACGGTCGACTACCACCACGAATTACTAGGTCTCCCACAATCAGACACAACCTTCTTCTACAAACCTAGGGAAACTGAACAAGGCGCGCTATTATATACATTAAGTGATCTTGGCGTCCTTGGAGCTGTCAATCCAGGCACCGGGGACGTTCGATGGCGACAAATACTGGCGAACGATGATAATCACGGAGAGGGCTTTCTGCGACCAGTTGAGGGAGCTGGTACAATTATTAGTGCTTTGGGCAACAGAGTAGATGCTTGGGATGCGAAGAGTGGAAGGGAAAGATGGGGAAACACTTTCACAGGACAAGCAAAAGATGTGGAGGTAGTTGAGGGTTTTGACAATATCAAGGATGTTTTGACTTTATTCGAAGATGCTGGAAAAGTCGTGGTACGAAAACTTAATGGAGATAATGGAGATGTTGTTTGGGAATATGTTGATGCTAGTGGTGATTTACCTCTACAAGTCAGCACAAATGTTAGAGACATTTTTGTTGTCACTCTTCACGGTGCTTGGGGAGGCTATAGCGTCAAAGTTACCACTCTTGACCATTTGACGGGTGAAAGAGTTACCGAATACACACTCTCCACCAAAGGAGATGTTCATACACCGGAGGATATTTTACTTGTTGGAGCCAACTCTGCTGCTCCTATCATTGCTTGGACCGATAGATTGCTAAAGAGTCTCAAGGTCAATATCCTGGGCAAACCAAGCGACTTGCAGACATTGCCTCTAAAAGAATCGGATGGCGAGCTTACAAAGGTCTCTATTCACGCGCCTAATTTGGCGCAATCCTTACCACATTTCTTGGTACACAGTCACTCGGCAACTTCAAACAGAGCAGATGTTTATCATATTGATATGAAAAGTGGTAGCATTAGCAAAGCATATGAGATCCCCAAGCTTGCAGGGAGCGGTGCTTTCTCAACCAGCTCGCAAGGTGCCAATGTCTACTTTACTCGTTTTACCGAGGAAGAGACCTTTATATTTTCTTCAATGTCTCATGGAGTTTTGGGCAGATGGCCAATTAAAGCAGAGAAGCAACATGACCGACTTCGATTTCTCCATGGTGCATCAGAGGTAGTCCAGAAAGCACCCGATACTTATGCTGTAAGATCAGCTATGGTGAGTGCGGAACAAGAATGGGTTCTGGTGCGCAATGGTGCTGTAGCTTGGTCTCGTGTTGAGGGTCTTTCTGGTGTTGTGGCTGCCGAATGGGCTGAAATACCAGCCTCTGAATCATTGGCAGAGACACTCGAGGCAGAAGCTCACAGCAACCCCTTGGAAGCATATATTCACCGAGTCAATCGTCATATCAATGACTTGGAATACCTTCCAGCATACTTGGAAAAGTTACCAACCCGGTTTTTAAGCGCCATCTTACCTGGAGATTTGGTTACACCGAATGAAAGTGTTTTAGAACGAGATAACTTTGGCTTCAACAAGTTAGTTATCGTTGCAACCCAAAGAGGTCGTTTGTATGCACTTGATGCTGGATCTCAAGGGCGCGTCGTATGGAGCTCCAAAGCTTTCGATATACCAGCTGGCAAGAAGTGGGACGTTAAGTCCATATTTGTCAACAATGCTAAAAGTACAACAACCGTTCGAGGTAGTCAAGGAGAATACATCATCGTGAACACTACAACTGGAATGGGACTCGAGGCTATAAACCCTGGGCAGTGGCCACCTGTTCGGAGCGCGGCCATCGTTGACAGTAATCTTGGCAGGTGGGTGTTACCTATTGGTATCGATGGAAATCCTGGCGATATACCAAAAGATTGGGCACCAAAAGAATTGCTCGTGGTTCGGCGCGAGAACGGTGAAGTCAGAGGTTTAAAATTTGACATTCAAGGTGCTGATGCCAAACCTATCTTTACCTGGTCATTTCAACCACCTTCTGGCCAAAGGATCGTCGAGGTAGTCTCCAAACCCGCACATGACCCGGTTGCGTCGATTGGGCGAGTTCTTGGGGATCGTACTGTCATGTACAAATACTTGAATCCCAACACAGTTTTGGTCACTGCCGTCTCAGATGAATCCTCAATCGCCTCCTTCTATCTTCTTGATACAGTTTCTGGCGATGTTCTTTATTCTGCAAACCACGAAGGTGTTGACACTAAGAAACCCATTGCTTCTGTTTTCACCGAGAACTGGTTCGCATATTCTTTATGGAGCGATGAATTATCAACCACCACCTCTCTGCACGGATCAAAAGGATATCAACTTGTCGTCACCGATCTTTACGAGTCTCCTATTCCAAATGATCGTGGAACCCTCGGCTCAAATGCGAACGCATCAAGTCTTGACCCATCAGATGTACCAAATGCTGGTCCAGTTCTTCCCCATGTTATTAGTCAATCATTTGTGGTTCCCGAAGCGATAACCCACATGTCTGTTTCCCAAACCCGCCAAGGTATTACTACTCGTCAACTTCTTTGTACTCTGGAATCCAATTCCATCATTGGTATTCCCCGTTATCTTCTCGATCCCCGTCGACCAGTTGGCCGAGATCCTATCCCTGCCGAACAAGAAGAAGGCCTTCTTCGTTACTCGCCTGTCATCGAATTTGATCCAAAACTCATCATCAGTCATAAACGTGAAGTTCTTGGCATCAAAGGTGTCATTACCAGCCCTGCTATACTAGAAAGTACCAGTCTGGTTTTCGCGTATGGAATTGATGTTTTCGGAACACGAGTTAACCCTAGCGCTGCTTTTGATATTCTCGGCAAAGCGTTCAACAAGCTGAGTTTAGTGGCTACTGTTTTGGCATTGGGAGTTGGTGTTGCAGTTTTTGGCACCTATGGTAAGTTATTTTACTTTGTCTATTGTTTCATGAGTGCTGTGCTAATATTTTCATAGGTGAGGAGGAAACAAATCAATGGCAGATGGTTGAATGCATGATTATGATAATGTTATAGAATTTTGTAAATTATGATAATATAAGGAGGGTTAAAAGCGTTACTCTCAACAAAGATTAAGGATTTCACTCATGCTATTAGTGAACTCTATGTTTTTTTTTTTTGGCATAATTCCATCTTGTTACGGAATTGCTATCAACCATATGAAATGATAAATAATGTTGATATTTTTGATTTATAATTGTGGCTGACATATATCTTCACCAGGTTGTTTGACTTCGGCAGATTTGTAACCGACTTAGGTAATCTCTGCCAATGCGCCTCATCCCGTTTAACTTTTCGAGATAAATATTTAAGGGCAACGCACATGGCATTAGCAATCCACGAATGAAAGTTAAGAATTTCTTCAGCATTCCCCAATCTCATTATTATTAATTGAAGATTGTTACCAAGCAAGTATTTACATGTATTGAGATGCTTCTTGATGAATCGTCGTGCTGCGCTTTGATGAGGTGAGGTTTGATTAGAGGGAATTAGTAATTCATAGGATGAAGATAGTGTGGAGAAACGTTGACATTCATCTTCGTCATCGATTCTTTTAGTCTTAGAATACCTAATAGGTAGGTACCGGTATCTCCACCAAAAATACGGAGTACCCCTCCATTTTTTATTTGTGGAATGGGGAGGGCTGCCGAGTCTTGCTTTATTGATGCATTCGGATTTATCGCTTTTAAGAGATATGTCCTCTATACGCGCAAGAGTACTTGGAGTTTTGTTCGGAATTTGTATTTATATACCATCTATTCGCGCTTTGGTTTGGGATTCATTCATCCAGATCCTCTTTCTTCATTCATCTATCTTATTCAATAAAATACTCGAGTAGCAAACATGCCCGGAAAATACCAAAAGCTCGTTTCCAAACGCGTCCTCGTCGTAGGTGGCTCCTCCGGGATCGGATACTGTGTTGCAGAAGCCTCCCTCGAAAGTGGTGCATCCGTTACAATTTCCTCTTCCTCTCCAGATCGCGTCGCCAAGGCAGTTGAGAAACTCAAGAAGAGTTATCCAGATGGAGAAATCAACGGGTTTCCATGCGATCTCTCTAAACCCAGTCTCGAAGCCGATGTTGAGAAATTGTTTGAACAGACGGGGAAAGTCGATCATATAGTTTTCACAGCCGGTGATGCACTATCTCTTATCCCGTTTGACAAAGCGACGCTCGAGGATATGCAGAAGGCGGGACAAGTGAGATTTTTTGGACAATTGATGGTGGCGAAAGTTGGGAGTAGGTACCTTAGTGAGGGACCACAGGCTTCGATAACGTTTACGACGGGGTCGACGGCCGATAAACCGATGAAGGGATGGACTGTTGTTACCAGTTTCGCGGCAGGGTTGCATGGGATGGCGAGGGGTTTGGCGGTCGATTTGGCGCCCGTGAGAGTTAATGTCGTGAGTCCTGGTCCGGTGAAGACGGAGTTGTGGAATGGGATGATGGGACAGGAGGAGGAGAGATGAGAAGATGTTTAAGGAGATGGGGGGTAATTTGTTGACGAAACATGTTGCATTACCAGAAGAGGTTGCGGAGTCATATTTGTGGTTGATGAAGGACAGTAATGTAACTGGAACCGTTGTAAGAAGTGATTCTGGTGCGTTGCTTGCTTAGCTGCAGACAATTATGCTCCGGCGATAGCGCTCAAGCAATACAACCATCGACAGTGGATGTATGGTATAATGTCATTGGTATTATTTAGCAATTCTGTTTTGGATAATAACTGATAAATCTCATCAGAATTATCAGATACCATAGTATATTGCTGGCATATTGATTTTCCAACCAACACCCTCACATGTCTGCCCGTTATTATACCACTTCAATTGTGGAAGCATTTGACTAGCGACCCATCTTGCTGTGGTAGTATGTCGGCTCCCATCCCCAAAAGGTTCGTCCGTACGATCGGGGCGACTTCTTGGATCAGACGAGAGCTCATGTCCCAAAATTGTTGATCGACCATCAGCAAGTGCTTGAAAAATAACCAGTTGATCTTGAAGATACTCATCTACTAAACCTCCCTTTTTGAACTCGGAATCAAGATCTTCAACAACCTTCCCTGCTATCTCGGCCGATATGTCTTCTCGGGTTCTGTCCTTTGTCTTTCTATCGTACAGCCAATCGCGCCCAAATCTTAGTCCAGTAGAAGTGTGAGCTACTAAAAGTGTGTATATCCGATGTGTATTCTCTCTTAGAACAATATTGATCTTTACTTCAGGAAAACGTTGCTTAATAGTCGTAGCCAAAGCATTTTCAAGCGGTTCCTGAAGTGATTCAAGTACTAGGATCGAGATATCTATTTCCTTCACGATTCCGCGTTCAGTTGGCCAATTGGGGACTCTCAGAGACTGGCCGAAAGGTATGGGATGTATCTTGAACTCTGCATGGCCCAGTTTTAATGGACCATGTGACCATCCTCTAACTTTGAGTTCTCGCTCTACATAAATACCGAATCTTTCGAGAGTTGGTAATAGCACTTGATCGAGATACTCATATGATAGAGAGAAACTTCCATTGGTTCCTCCTTTCATGGAAAGCCTGATTGGAAGGGCCGCGGCATCGTTTGCAAATAGCACGACTGGAAGAATTGCCTGAAGTACAAGTAAGATGCTAGATGCAGAATCTGCATCAATTTTGATATCTCTATCAATAGTATAATGATGGAGAGAGTTGGGCTTAAACTCAATCGTCTTGCTTCCAACAAAACATCCGGTTGTCTCGGCGGATGTAATTTTCGCGAGCCATTTTATAGCAGAAACGTGCTGTGCCTTTAGACCACCATTTCTTTTGCCCAATCTTTGTTTATTAGTTAACGTATCGGGTTAAATTTGTAGATAAATGCTTTACCTGTTACCTCTGACATTCGTAATTAGGAGAGGAGTTCCGGTCAGAGCAGCTAGTGAAACCGCTATCCTGACAAGTCTGCCAGAAAGAATCAACAACGCATGCAAAACTGATATGCTACTTAAACACTCACTGTCCACCACCTTCGCCAGTTCTCCCATCAAGCTTTACTAATTTTTGTGCTGCCGATTTCGCCATTGTTGCGTCTGTAGACTTTGTCGTGAGAGTAGTAAAGCTATTTATATGCCGTATTGAACGTTTTACTTTCCAACTTACAAGACTCCAAGAACAGCGATGATCTTGAGACCGTTATAAAGGGCACGATCAAACCAAATAATCTGTGAGATCGTTTAATCTTATGCCTCTGGTGTATAAGAATGAGTCATTGACCGAATAAGGAATCCGGACTGCGGCCATGCTTGTACATGAAGTTCTTCAACAATTTATGACTCGAAAACGATCGATATAACAGGCTGTCAAGACACTGCTCTCAGTATCGCGCTTGGTGCTTGTTCTCGAATTTCTTTTTCATATACCAGGTACGATACATTGCGCTATCGATGGAGCATATATTTGTGGCACGAGCACGAGCCAATTTCAACCACATGAACTATTCTCACCCCGCAAACTGATCCGCTCAGCCTCCCCACAAATCTTTGGTCCAGACCTTGGCATTACACTGCCTTAGCAAGAGAATGTCTCGTCAACAGCCCTTACATATATTGATACCTCATTGTAATCCTCTACGGCACCGTCCATAATGATCAACAAGAAACTCGACCTCGACACACTGTTCGCAGGAAACCCGACAAGTTCCACATCAAAATGTCGCGAATGGGGCGACAGCAATCGCATGCGAGTGGTTTGAATTCCCACTTGCATCCAAAGCCAGGACGCTTTTCACTCTGGCCCGGGAGGAGAGCAAATGTCACTGCCGCGAGAGAGGAACCTGCTATAACTAGTGGTTCTGGGTTAATGCTTGATGTATGTTCCGAAATATCCACTTCGCGTTCTATCAACCCCTTCATTTCGTTAACATCTCCGCAGCCCCCGCACAGCGATCTAATCGTTAGCTCGCCCGTTGTTCTCCCGGAAATCGAATTAACGAAATCCAATATATCGCAAGATCTCTTCATCGGCGCATTGCATGATCCTAATTATATTCAACTGCAAGAAAATGTGCGGAAGGTGCGTCGAGCACTGGTGGGACCGGAACCTAAAAATATAGATGCCGCCTGGGAGGTTTACAAAAGACAGAGAGAGGAATCTCTGGAACATTGTCGAAAGTTGATTGAGAAGTCGCGTAAGTCCTTTATTATTCCGGATAATGTACACCCTATTTATAACTTCATTGAATTTGTTCATGAAACTAAATGCAATAATACATTTAGAAGAGCATCATGCTCGAAATCCGTCATTCGAATCCAGCATAGGCCCGTTAGATACGCGATCATCTCTCAGCAGTGGATCATTCGACGATGGATCTCTACCATTTCAAATCAATAATTCGTGGCTATCAGCCATTTGTGATTATAAAGCTTTCCAGGAAAAACTTGCCACTACCCTTCGTACTTCTCTTGAAGTAACGTATGCTGCCTACGAGCCCGATGCATCTCAACGCCAGCTTGAAATCTTCTTAGCAGATAAGGAGCATCGGAAAAGTGTTATTACAAAATGGCGAGATACAAGTGTTCGTAGGGTGAAGTCGGAAAAGCCTGAATTCTTCGAAAAGTACAAGATACGATCTTTGAACTTCGATAAATTGAAGCATGATATTGAAGAATCGGAAAGCTTGTTCGACACAGGTCATACACCAAATAGAGTCGTTCGGGAATCTATTATTTATAAGAATGGAGACACAATATTAGAATTTGCAAATCGCCCTTCGGATAGTCTTCCGGTTATCAGATTTCGTGTGTCGTCCCATTTTTTGAGCCCAGACGATGTTTCACCGTTATTCTCTCAAATGCTCTGCCCTGGACCAATGATTCCGCCAGACATGATGAAGGATCTCCCCAAAGCACCAACCAGGATCTTTGGAAAGGACGGTATTGGAGTAAATATTTATCGTATGCCACAGATGGAGCCTAACAGCCATGAGGCATTAGCACTCCTCTTTCACGCTATACATGGACACGCCCAAAGGCTTCCACGGGAAGATATTGATTTTCCAGTTTTCGTTAGTATTGCAGATGTATGCCTAAGGTACAGGTGCACATCGCCAGTAGAGTTACAAGTGGAATATCAATGGCTACCTCAATGGGAATCTCAAGCTGCTGAAAGCAATCCTGAAGAACTTCTCCTTATCGCGTATACATTTGGCGCAAGAGATCTGTTCACGCGTATCTCTAGGAGCATCATTTTAAACTCGAAAGATGGCGACGATGAGACTCAAGGTCAAAGACTTTGGCCACAAGCTATCAAGAATACGATCAAAACACGCAGGGCAATATACATGGAACAAATCCTCGATTATTGTGCGAGTGTTATAAACGAATATCTTCAGCCACCAAGGCAGAGCGCAGAAAGATCTGTTCATGTAGGATCACTTGAGCTCTCCAAGGTACGATGCCCAAGGGGATCACACACTTGTGACGCCACAAATTTAGGCTGGCTTATGCTAGTTTACAACGAATTGGGTGTTTCTCCTCTTTCCCCCAAAGCATCATCGAAGCATAGTCTAAAGGAACTGATTGACTGCTTGAGATTGATGCCTAGTCCACCTCAAACTCATATTGGTGTCTGTGATTTTGCTCCCGACTTTAGGAATAAAATAAATGACATTTCGAATACCATTATAGGTCTTACACTTCACGATGTCTCGGGTCAACATGGATGGGCCTTGAGTAAGGGTGACGATCCACAAGATACGGTCCCAGAAGAGATCTTTGAACTACCCGCACACGTTAGCACAAAAGAGTGTATTGTAGAAGCCGAGAAAGCAAAACAGGCAGCAAGAAGTGCTGTCTGCCTCCGAATTCTCTCCCTTCTCGAGAACCTCGAGGATCTTCATGCGGCAGCAATGATCGATAAGTCATTCTACGGGGCCTATATCAAAAATGAAGGAAGGCTACTTCGGAACATAGTAAAAGCCGGATTAAAACATGCTTCCCGGGTAGCCGAAACACAAATTAGCCCAGCGGATCGGATGGCCGAAGATACTACACAGTCTTTGGAAGCTACCGCTGTTGACCTTATTGATGACTCTGAATCTGCCGTGTCTTCCATTTCGGAGAATGAATCGTTTGATGCTCAAGACGGAGATCTATACGACGTTTCACCACCATTATTACCTATTGATATAACTGCAATGCCTGTGCCCACATCAGAAGAGGAGGCACGAGAACTTCTCACACGCAATGTCGAAGCTACCAGTCGAGCCTGGGCGATGAGAGACTCGTTACAGTCTTCTGAAAGACATGTAAATTTGACACAAAAAGAAAAGTTTCTGGCAGGAGATTTTGCACATATAGAAGACAAAGCTCGGCTAGAGGAAGAAAGCAAACAGTTACAGGCTGAAAGGGATAAGTTTATAAATCTCAGAGGATAGCGGCATTTCCCCCACCCTTTCATTTCATTTTTGAGGGTTTTCGTCGCGGTGTTTTTGGTCAGATATTGGATACAAACTGCATTTTGATGATTCATGAGGATTTGGTCGGAAAAGTAACAAGGCGCCATATACCCAATTTGAAAGAAATGTTCAATTTCCACGTCAATTTTTTATAGGAGGTTTTAGATATAGTTAGAGATCCTTCGATAGTCATCAATATGTGCCCCATTAGTTCAAGGAAGACGTTAACTTACTCAATCAGATTCCCATCGGGATCTCTACAATAAACACTTCTCAGCTTGCCTTGAGCACCAGTGCGTATCACAATTCCTTCGTCAATTTTCTCTGAGCTCAAATCGACCATTTCCACACCTGCATCTATTAGACGTTGGCGCACATTCTTAACATTGTCATCCGTTATGAAGCACAAATCTGCACTCCCATCTTTCACATTTTGAGCTTTGGGCTCGAATTCCTAATGAGTTTCAGCGCGGCGAGATCGCATATTCCAAGAAGGGCATCGAAGCAAAGTTACCTTTCCGAGTTGATGTAAATTTATTTTCTGCGAACCAAAAAGAAGCGAATGACGAGTGATATCTGGTGTGGCACTTGAGACGAATTGCTCGGCTTGCATGCCAAGATTCGCCTTATACCATTGGGTGGAGCGGGGTATGGAGGCGACAGTCAAGACGAGATGGTCGAGAGATTTGATATGTGCTGCTGGTGTAGAAGTCATCTTTCGAATGTGTTGAAGATTGGTATGGTTGATCAATTTCGGAATGCTTCTTGTGAACATAGACATAGTGAAATACCGTAATGTTTGGTTGTCATCTCATGGATACGAGTCAAAAGCACAAGACAATTAGCTGAATGATTCACTGATCCCCATCCGCCCCTCCTTATGTCATATCACACCAATCAACGCCCGGGGCACCCCGCGACGGAGATTGCCGTCAGCTTTTTGTGACTTTCAAAAAAAGTTTCATGTAAACAACGGCGATAATAATATGCGATAAATTCTACAATGGCTTGTGTATAGTTGGGAATAGGCACATACATGACATAGCCTAGTTCCATCATTACGATTACGAAGATTACGCAGACCAACGATCTTGTTACTCTCACGACAGACGATTGCAATCCATCATGTCGAACTTAATCAATCGCGTGGGAAATTCCTCACAAGCGCAATTTACAGCCACTGCGCTTGTATCTGGTGCGGTAGTGGCAGGTGCAATTTTTAGTTACCAGGCCCTGAGAAGACAGGAGAAAGTGGAAGATCTAAAGAGCTCGATACCTAGTTTGGGACGGGATCATCATGCTGATTTGGTATGTTTTAGATCTGCCACCCGGCAACCGAGTGAGATTGTACCCAAGTGCTTATACTGACGAGAGAAGTGAAGCTTACGGATATGGGGATTGCGCCCAAGGGTACGGGCATGAGTAAAGAAGATGAGAGGGGTGCTGCATTGGCGGAGAGAGCGAGAAGGGGCGATTACGATGATGGTACTTTCAATTCTTCTACGAGAAACTATGAGCATCACTGATTTGTGCAGAACTCATTTTAGAACAATTAGCCCGAAATCGAGTCTTCCTCAAAGAAGATGGATTACAAAAGTTACGCTCAGCATTTGTGGTTGTGGTTGGT